GGAAAATTACAACATTATAATATTTACACAAGTATGGATTATTGACTGCTCTGGCTTTCTGAACATCAGAAGGTAAGACACACGGATTACAACTAAGTAAAACATCACCTTCTATTATGCTTATACGCATTCCTCTTTCATCGTATTTGGCTTCACTATCTAATTGAATAAAAATTTCACCTTCTTCTAAGGTATTTGTCAGACCTGCAACGCAGACAAGAGAACATGATAATGGCATTTCAATATGATATTTTGAAGCAATATTTGATAACTGTCCTTTAAGCAATTGGTTTAATTTTTTATGTTGATGCTTTGCTTAAAGTAATTATAATATATTAGAGGATTATTTATGTAGTATTCGTTATTTTATTTTTAAAATTAAAGTTTTTTATTGTTTTTACATAAATATTTGTTTAGTTAATATTAAAGGCAACTTTTGAATTTATAAGTTTAACTTCAGATATTTTTTCGTTAATAGTTTCTAACAGAATACGTATAATTGGACAGTGATTGAAATTAGTGGCTTAACCTGTCACAAATTACGGATGTGCTACAATTAAGGTCATACATAACTTATATTAAATTCTTTATTAGTAGTCAACACTGACTATATCAGCCGAAATACTCATGGCTATTGGTAAAGTGAATAAATTATCAAACGACAGAAGTAAAATAAAGAGGAGATTTTTGAAAAGGTATTATATTAAGATTTTAATGTGTGATTCAAAGAATTTATTATAATTATATTATTCTAATAATAAATCGTTATATGAGAACAGTAATGAAGAACAGTTTTCTTTTATTCCAACCCTTCAGGAATCTATCCAACTACCAAACGCAATAGATTTTTGAATCGTTTCTGGGTTAAGTGACCCACGCTTTTTAGTGACTACACTTGAAGCTTTAGAGAATAGTCTTTCTGATGGAGCACTTGTCACTGGCAATGCAAGATAATCACGCACTATAATTGCCAGCCTTGGAAAATCTTTAGCATGTGTCTTCCACCACTCAAATACATTTGTTGAAGAAGGAGCCAAAGGACTATTTAAGTACATTTCAATTTCATGTATACTATTAGCATGTTGAATTTTTTTAAATACACGGTCAAAACAATGATTATTGGAAATACCAAAAAAATCATAGCTATTAAATACATCATACAAGGACTCAACTGCCTAAGAAACCTACACAGGCTTCCAATTTTCTGACTCATAATATGCTTTTTTGAGTCGCAGATCTAGTAAGGTCGTTATTGCATATATTGGCCCATCACTTCACGTATAATAACACTTTAACTTTTTTAGGGCTTCTTCAATGGCGTCGTTTACTATATTAGATGGACCATATTTTTGGAGTTCTTCAAGGTTATTCATAACCATGTTATATGCAAAGATAGCGAGAGGCATTGTTACATATGACTCTCCACATAGCTCCTCAGATACGTCTTAAAAAGTTTTTAAAGCCAGTGATACCTCTCTAAGTATACCTAAATTAATTTAATTTAAAAATAATATTAAAAAAAAAGCCAATATAATAATAATAATAATAATAATAAAAATAAAATAAATAATAATAATAAATACCCTATTCATTCTTCAAACAACAAAATTCATATAATTCGTTAGTCTCATCAATTATATTTTTAATTGCAGGAGCCATAATAAGAACCTGTTCAATCATTTGAAGTGTTGAATTCCACCTTACTTTTGAATCAAGAATTGGTTCATAATATAGAATATTATTATATAAACATAAATTCTTTAGTATTTTACAACGTTGTGGTGTGGCACAAAGTTTGATAACAAGTCGCCGAAGCTTCTTTATAGTAGAAACTTGGGATGTGGTGTCATTGGGTATATAAAGAGTTTCTTCATCCTGATCTGTTACTTCTGAACGTAAATAAAATAGAAAACTTTGGAGTGCAATGTTAATAACATGGGCGAAGCAACGAACATGCCCATGTTTTATAGTAAAAGAACCACCAACTGCTTGACAATGCAACTCAAACACCTTAAGAAACTTGCTGATGTTTGCGGCATTGTTAATAGTTATTCCTAATATTTTATTTACAATACCAAAGTCTTTACACACCATACTAAAAATGTGTGTTATATTCTCTGCAGTATGCGACCCTTCAAAGGGTACAAGGTTGAGCACCCGTGACTTCAGTTCCCAATTTTCGTCAACCCAATGAGCGGTGACACTCAAAAAGTCCTTACAGTTGTTACTGGTCCACAAGTTAGTAGTGAGGGATACTTTACTTGTGTTATGTTCTAATGTTCTTTTTAGTTAGGTTTTCTGAATTGTATACTGGTGCACCAAATCACGTTTTATTGTGTCAGCAGAAGGGAGCAATATATTCACCTTATCAGCCACCTTACGAAAACCCTCAGACTCAACAACAGTAAATGGAAAACCATCACCTGCAATCCACTCAACTAACGTTTCTCTAAGGCTAGGTTCAGCAATATTATTTGGTTGAGATGATTCATCTTCCAAGTCGTCATGAAGCTGATAACTGGAAAGTTCAATTTGATGAATTCGAGAAAGATGAGCACGCAAGCTGGAAGTAGCACCATTGTTTACAACAAGGTATGCTGGGCAATATTGACATTTTGCTTTCATTTTATTCTCCACCAATATAGGCCTATCAAAATGTTGCCAAACTGGACTTTGA